TCCATTATTTCTTCTAGACCTATATATAAGTAAATAGAACAAATTTCTCATAAATTAAGATAGTTTATTAAATATTTATTTTTTTTAATTTCATATAAAATATAAGTTATTTTTTAAAAAATATTTTTAATCACATTGATAATAAATAACATTCTCATTTATTGTCATGGAGTATTTTTAAATCAAGAACATTAAATAAAGTCGATTTCAATAAAATTTGTTTATATTTTATTGGGAAAAATTTAAGTAATTTTTTTTGCATATAATTTCAAAGAGAGTATCAATAATAACTATTGATAAAAAGAAATATATTAATAATATCTACATCTTTTTTTTTTCTTCATCAAAATTATGATGACAATAATAAATTTAAACTTAAATTTTTGTATATAATATTTTAAACATTTATACTATGTTGAGGCTAGTGACTTTCTACCCACTTATTTTTGTTTTTTTTAACAAGCATGACAATTGAAAAACCTTTTTTCTACCTGTAAAAGATTGAAATAAATATTTATTAAGAAAAGGTGTATCATTTTAACGATTTTGTTAAAGTATTGGAATTAGTTAACACTCTACTGAAAATTGTTAGCGATGTTATCTCAAACATTTTTATTTTATTGATTGACATGCATTGTAAATAAAAATTTTGATAGGTCTGATGTTTTATTTAACATGTCATTTTTTTATTTAGTGATAAAATTTATCAAAATTTTAAATTATTATTAATAATAAATATTTTAAAAATGTTAGAGAAATTGTCAATAATATTTTACGGTAAAAGAAATAGCATATGCAAATTATTAAATATTTTTAACAACTTTAAAAAAAAGCAGCAATTTCAATATAATGTATACTCACATTTCTAGAAAGAAAAAAAATTTGTTCTCTCTGTCACCTTAATGCGTTCCTGAGAAAATAAGGTCTAATATATTTTTAATTTAAAAAAAAATAGTGAGTTTTGATTTTAATTTTTGATTTTTTTTTATCATTTTAAAATTTGCAAGCATTGTTTTTTATTCGAGTAAAATGAATAATTTTTTATTTTTATTTCTGTATTTAAAAAAAAACATCACTTTAAAATTTAATTACTATTATTTTGTTTAAAATATTTATTTTTAAGTAGATAAATAATATTTATGTTAAAAATCTATGATGGTCATTTAATCTTGTGATAAATATATAAGTAGTAAAAAATATCACAAAATTGTAGTAACTAATAAATATAATAGTTCTAAATTTTAGAAAATAAAATTAAAATTTATTTATTTTACATAAATTAAAAACGTATTTAAATCTAAAAATTATATAATATTTTTTAAAATAAAGTAATATTATATTATTTCCAAATATCTTTCTATTAAACTCATAAACCTTGTAAAAGCATTAAATACAGATTAGTATTTTATAAACATAAAATATATTTAATATTTTATTTAATACGTTAGAGAATTAGTAAAAGAACGTTAGAGGAAGATTTATAACTAACAAAACTGGATTCGCATTTTTAAATAAATGTGGAAAGAGAAAAATATAAATTTAAAAGTTAAAAAAAATAGTTTATTGGTTATCCATATTTCAATACTATGATTACTATTACAAAGGTGAAATTGAAACTTTGAGTCCTAAAAAAAATTCAATAATAAAATATTATGTTAAAAATAATTTGCAAATATACTTAGAGTGTATTCAATAAAATTAACATATAACTTAGTTAAAAACTCATAAATTACTTTCACAGTCCTTTTTAATTGTCAATTTTTTAAGAAATTTTATTTCTATTTATTTATTATTTTGAAAGTCCAAGACAATAATAATTATTTTATGACAAATATATTTGTATATCTTACTTAACTTTTAATTAATATACATTTATTATAAAGAGAGAAAAAATGAAAGTAGTATGCTAGAAAAGATGAAAATCATTTTATAAAAAATAAGAAAATTTATTCCATACCTTGATTTTTGTATGATAACTTTAAACGACAATTAAGAAGAAATTAACTAAAATTTATAAGTTATAAATGGTAAAGGCGATACTTTTTAAGCTTAATTAAATAAATTCACATAATACTAATTGAAGTATTTAAGAAAAAAATCCATTAGATAAAATATTTTAAAAAATTGATTTTATAAAAGGTCTTAAATGAAAGAGACACATAATTACCTCAGCAATAAAATTTGCATTTTTTTTTTCAGGAACTTTAGATACGCATATCATTAAATAAATCCTATTATATGAAAAGCATTAAATACATAACATTGTAAATGAGTTAAACAAATAATATTGACCGACTTAAAAAAATATTGTATATAATAACATTTTATTTTCAATTAAATGATCTGGTTTTAACTTAAAACAGTAAATTTCAAAGAAAACTTGCTTTTATTGGTTTGGATAATGAAATCAATAGGTCTTTAGAATAAGAAAGTTTTACAGATTTTTCGGCACAATTGAGAAAGACATGGTTGGAAAATAACCAGTTCATACCTAAAATCACATCCAGTTGTGATAAAGGTATGCAGATCAAATTTACAAGAAATTTTCTATAACCAATAAAAATAGGGTAATCTAAACAAACTTTATTGGCAATTATAGATTCGTTTGTAGGGGTCGAAACAATTAGATTAGTCTCTAAAAAAGAAACTGACAATTGAAGGTGTTGAACGCAATCATTAGAGATAAAAGAATGAGTTGCGCCTGAATCATACAGTACATTCAAAGTTTTGCCTTTAATGAAATATTTACCTTGTATTAGATCATTGTTTTAATCAGCTTCAGCTCCGGTCATGGTATAAACTCTCCCAGTTGTAAAAGGTTTTGGTTTGAGTCCAGAAGTATTCGCGTGCGCCTTTGGTTGTTCACACTCAGAAAACACATGACCAGGCTTTCCACACTTGAAACAAATAGGTCCTTTGAGATGACAGTCTTTAGTATAATGGCTTTATCCACACTTAAGACACTTAGCTTGATTATTCATGTGTTTACTGGAATTTCCTGCAAATTGAGAAGATTGGGGTTTCCATTGAGGTCGATCATAAGGTTTTCCTTCATTATTCATTTTCTTGTTAAACTGAGGACCAAAAGATTTTGGTC